TTACTAATTGTATTATCTTGTCTTTTGCATTTTATTATTTCACATCTTCATTTGTATTATTCTCCACCCCACCCTTTTGTAATCTCTACCCTCATTAACAATGTTGCTAACTCAACCCACGTCCAATTTTCTAGTCAACTATATTACATCATCCGATTAACTTACTTAATTTTCAACTGTATTATTCTCTACCCCCACACTTATTTAATTTTAACCACCACTCATTAACATTGTTGCCAACCTGACCTACTCTGAATTCTACTCAATTGTATTACGTCGTCCAATTCACTTAATCAATTTTATTTTATTTTCTATCTAATTAACGTTTGTTTCCAATCCAAATAATACTTATATTACGTAATTATCTAAACTTTATAAATCCAATGTGCACACACACAAACAAAATTGTATATAAATGCGATTGTACAGCTCAGTGAATGAATTCTCCGAAAAGAGTCTCTTCGCTGAACGCCTTCTTTTCTTTCATATGACCGAATGGGAATTTTCAAGTTATTATTGATCAGTCACACTTTACCAGCCTTTACCTAACACGTTTTTTTTTATTTACAGCTTGATTCCACACCGTAGTTTCAGTACAAGTGTGGAATTTTCAGCATGGATATCGGTAGCCCAAATTCAGGCCGACCATAGATATCGGGTGTGCGCCGGCAGGGGATCGAACCCCGGACCATGTGCATGGTCGGCGAGAGTCCTAACCACTGTGCCACCTATGCAACCAATAATTCAGTACACTACCAAACCTGTAAGTACTCATGACAAAACGACAAATTAAGAAGACTTGGTTATTAGGGAAAAAGTGCTCAATTGCGCCGTATATTTGAGTAAAATAAAAGGTAATGGTGATCCAGGGGAAAGGTCTACAACCTATCTAAGCGATGTGGCTTCATGACAAACTCAAGGAATGTGTGTATAGACAACACAACGGAAAAGTGCAAAATTGCGTTGGCGCCAGTTCGTGTATGTACAAATTGAAACAAAGTCTTTAGCATTGGAATGTACACTACATGCTCTTAAAGAATAAGACGTGAATAGAAGTTAAACACTCCTAATAGACAACGAATTTTCTTCGTTAAGTCAGCCTCGGAAATCTTTTTGAAGTGTCGGAAACTTTCGACTGATACAATCGTTTGTGCTAACTGAATTTAACTGATAACGTGGTGAATATGCATTCATACCGGCTGATAAACACCGCCTATTCCTTAAAAAGCGGCAAAATGACTTATCAAAATGTTCATCATGTTTTTTCTATCTGAGTTGTACCAGATATTGGACCTTCAAAGTATTGATAGTGCTAGTTACACTATACCAGCCGTTACAAAGTGGTAATCAGCATAATTACTCAACAAGACTGTGCACTACTTAATTTGTAAGTGCGGACAACAAAACTCAAATCAAAAGACTCAGTTGATTAGTAATGTGCTCTGATGAGCAGTATATCTGAATAATATACAAAGTTATCTAGCTAGCATGGCTGAGTTAAAAACTCAGGGAATGTGTGTGTGTTAACAACACGAGCAAAGAGTGCAAAAGTGGCATTCGAGCCAGTCCGTGTGCGTATCTGTTAAAACAAAAACTTAAAATGCTAGAATGCATACTACAGACCTATAGGGGTTTCGGCTATTATGGCTCCATCGGAAGTGCAAATTTTAACATAGTTATATTTTGCCTGAACTTTCTGTGGCATCGACAAGTCCCTTCTCTCCCAGACTGTCTTATAGCATTTGACGGCCTACGGAACACTGAGTGACTAATATGTATGTTCAAATTTGAAAGTGTGGCTTCATTCCGTCATTTGCTATGTCGTCACGTATGCTGTACAGAATTGTCTGTGATTTAGAAATGTTGGCAGTGCTGACTGAGAGTTGTTTCCACATAAAGCTTCTAATTAGATGAACTTAGATAGAATGTTCAGAAACTGGCAAATGTTACTTGCTAGCTTCTGTCACCATGTTTTAACCTTTAAGTGCTCATTCAAATGCCTGTTAAAGTATAGTGAACGCTCAAAAGCTTCTCAACGGATTTTCGTGGTCCCGACCAATAATTGTGTGTGTGTGTGTTTGGACAGGATAATATTCATAACGGGTAATGGACTCTAGTCCCGTTCAGCCTATGGCAACTGGATAGTATCATTGGCACTTGTACATGAAAAATCTATTCCGGTTAATTAAGTTTAAATAAACAAAAGTTCGGTTGTTCAAGCTTACAGTTAACCGCTGTTGTTGATGCTAAAACAATGTAACATATACTTAAATGATCAATCTATTTTTCGTGCTAAATATCTCTGGCTTGCTTTTATTATTATTGTTCGCTTGGGTTCCTAGTGGAACATAGGGCTTCAAATGCACGTTTCCACTTGCTCCTGTCTTCTGCTGTACTTTTCACCTGCGTCCATGTTATTCCATACTGTTTCAACTCCTCTTCACACGGTTTCCTCTATGTCACCCTTGGACGTCCCACTCACCGCTTCCCTTTCGGGTTCCACTCGAGGTATGGCCTGACGCGCGATGTCACCCAACGGCCTCCTCAGCGAGTGTCCAATCCATCTCCACTTGATCCTGCATATTTGTTGGCGATTGGTTCTTGTTTTGTTTGTTCCCATAGTTTCTTGTTGGTGATTCTTTCCGGCGGCCATCTGATCTTCAGTATACAGCCAGCGAAGACAGTTGTTGATAAACGTCTGCAACAGACTGTTGGAAATATTCTTCGTGACCCGCCAAGTTTCTGATCCGTACGTATAGAAGAACTGATTGACTTGACGTTTGTATTGAAAATCCGAATTTTGTTGTTGATGCTGAGTTGAGTGACGAAGATTTCCAGATTAGTTTCAGGTTGATGAATGTGTTTCTCGCCTTCCTGATCGATTCTCGATTTGACATCCTCGTCCGTCGGTTTCTCCTGTAGATGAGACAATGCTCCTTAGATAAGTGAATGAAGTAACCTCTTTCGAATCCCTTCCGTTGATGGTGATTGGCGCTGGATGTTGTTGATGCTGTTGTTGGTTGGTTATTTTCATAACCTCCGTCTTGTCTATGTTCGCCTGGAGTCCTGTCTTTGCTGCCAGCCTCTTCGACCAGTTTGTCGGTTTTCGCTTGTAAGTCTTCGATTTTGTGTGACATCAAACATAAATCATCCGCGAAACCTAGGTCTTCTAGGTTCTTCACGTTGGTCCAGGATATCCCTGTCTTCTCGTTTCTCACTGTCTGACGCATAATCCAGTCCACCACAATTAGGAATATCATTGGTGATAATAAGCACTCTTGTCTGCTTTTAAGTAAGTTCTGATCACTTGGAGGAAAACAAAAGCGTACTGTGAACATTATCGTATAATCACTTGCCCCTCCTGCACCAAAATAAACCTATGGCTAAAATTATTGATGGATCAAACCGAATCAACTTAATATTAATTAAACAGACTTCAGTATTACAATAGAAACTGATCGGTAATTATCTTATAGTATATCCGATACCATGGTATAGCGAGACAGTACTTAAAGGTCACTAAAATATTAAAAAAAACTACCGCACAGATGAGGGAAAGTAAGACAGACATTCATTAATCTGAAATCAGTATGAAAATCGGTTTCTGCCAGCACGAGGAATAAGGTTCGATCTTTCAGCGCCAATGTCAAGTCAGTCATTGGTTTCATATGGTTAAGAAACTTGATGTACCATCATCCAAGGCACTTCCAACAGGGCACTGCAAACTCCCATCATATTAAAGATCAGATGGCCGGCCAGAAGAGATAACCAACAGGGAGTTCTGGTAACAAAAAAATCCAAAAAATATGCCGAAGGAAGTGGAGATGGATTGGACACGCAGTAAGTAGATTGTTGAGTGTCCTCAAGCGCCAGCCAGGCCCTGGAGTGCAACTCGAATGATAGATAGCGAAATGAACGTGAGTGCAAGGGTAAAATGGGGAAAATCGGGTGAGGAAATGAAAGATTATGGTCAGTGGTGAAGCCAGATGAGAAAGATTTCAGAGAATGGGATGGAGTGGACAATACCATATTTGGCCCGTGTTCTAAGTGACAGAGACAATGTTATGCGCGAAACCTATGACTAGCTTTGTTGTTAACAACATATTTTTTGGCTCCTTTATTTCTCTCTTATTTTGCATTCTATAGTGAACTCCTTCTTAAACATACTTAGCTACCTAAATTGTTAACATTGGCTTCCTTTTTTGTACTTTACTCTATTCCTTCTTTCGTGTATCTACTGGTTCCGACTCTATTAGCACTATGAGTATTACAAAATTGTCCTATCATTAACCATCATGTAATTATTAGTTTTTGTGGTTGTTTTTTCTTATTTTTTTAAAATTTTTTTCGGCAATATTATCTTGGTTGTGAAAGCCATTATCACCATCTTAAAATTTTGTATTATGCAGGATTACTCACACTACCACTACAAACACCGCAGTAGACCTAAAAAAAACAACCCTGAAATGTTATTTTATGATTGTTTGGTGTTGTTTCAACCAAATTAACTGAACATCTTGGCGATAAACATTCTTAAATATCATTTCATAACTTATTGTATGACTACAGCTTTACTGTCACCATGCACAATCATATCATAGCTTCCACTACCCACTACTGAGATATTATTTTATGTTGTTTTTTTCCTTTCTACTTCTTGGTATTTGTTTTTCGCATTTTTAATATTATTTTTGTGTTTTTTTTGTTGTTGTCTTTATATTTATTTTTGAAATATTCCTTTGAAATGTTTGATAAAATTAGATGCAAATATTGTAGATATGTGCTGAAAATTCCACACTGTACCACTAGTAATGTTTCTGGAATAAAGCAAATTATTATTATTATTAACAAAAAAAATAATATTAATATCTCCTTGATGTTTGTTATCTATTCGCCTGAAAGTCTCACTGACTACGGATTCCGATAGTCTTTAACTTGTTATATTTTTTTCGGTAAATATCATATCACATCACTCAGATGCATAGAAAAAAACAAATAACTAAATGCATCTTCGGTTTTATTACTTCATAAAAAAATTGTCCCATAGATGGTATTCCCATTCACAATATCATTAAAAAATACAAACTGCACATACATTACGACTATTTCAGAAATCTAACCACACACACACATAAACAAACGAGTTACAAAAAAGAATTAAGCAAACATAAAATCTAATTGAGAGAGTAATTGAAACATTTCAGTCATAAACTTGTCGAAATCCTGAGGCATCAGACCGCTGTGATTTTCTTCGTCTTTCTTCCAAATATTTTTCATCCACTGCCGATTGTAACCCTTCTGTTGAATAACTATTGACTGAAGAACAACTGGATAAAAACTTCATCAAACTGCGCAATTCCATGAACACTGTGCTTTCACACTTGTTGTATTCGTTAAATATATTGACAACATTAGCGATTGTACGGTTTATACTAGTACAATAATAATAAGCATCATGGCTAGTGGAAGATTTCATTGAAATTTCATCGAAAAATATTGTTTGAATACATTTCAAGTATTCACCAGTTGATTGTAAGCTAATCTCGATTAAATTATTGATTTGTTCAATTACAACAGGATTGTTTAAATCGCTTAAATTGAATAAATTTTCCAACTGCGCACATATCATTTCAGCACAAAATCTAGCCTCGCTGTAACTAGAAATTGATAAATCTTTTATAAGTATTAATAAATAGTATAGAGATTGAAAGAGTAGAATCACTGACATGACAACAGATTGATCACGATAATTATTTTCGGTTAAATGGTGTTGAAGTGGTGTTGACGATTTCATTGTTATTGTTGTACTTGGGCATAAATCCTGCGTAATACTGTAAGCTTTTTGTAGCGTACACTGTGTATTAATTAAAGTATGAATACATGCTTCTATGATCCACATGACTGGGAGATCATTTATTGTCAGAGTGGTTCTACTGGTTAATTGTTTATTGATAATAATAGTTGTAAATAAATGAATTATACTCTTGGGATAATCATACGGTGAGTATTCATATATTGCATATAATGATTTTGCTGCACGGACACGAGCCTGTGAATATGGTAAAATAAAATGGAGTGAATACAATACAATATCAATGTAAATGTTAAATTATGAAATAATAGAGGAGATTTGTAGCTCAGGTGGATGATTTGCAATTAATAGTGTTCTCTGAGCTGGTTGGTTAGTTTACTTGCGAAGCTTTCGTCGTCCTTCTGGACAACATCTTCAGTGCCATATTTAGCACAAAGTGAAATGCAACAAGCATTACATCGGAAAAAGTGGGCGTCCCCTTCGAATCAGAATCCAAGAACACAAATCAGCCGTGAAAAGACACGATATGTATTCTTTAGTATCAATGCATATAGACAATTATGGTCATCAATTTGATTGGGATAATGTCAAAATCTTAGACAGAGGAAACACTAAAAGTGCCAGGGAATTCCTAGAAGCCTGGTACTCAAACGAAAATGCAGTTAACAAACACGTTAATATAGACGAAATATATCAAATACTGAAAAGTAAATCAGGTGACCAGAAAGTTTAAAATCCAAGTCAATAGAAAATGGTCAATACATAGGTAAAGATGGATACCGGGAGACGCAATTCTATCACTCATGAAGAAATTTAAATCATTTCACTTCGTGCTAAATATGGCTCTGAAGATGTTGTCCAGAAGAACGACGAAAGCTTCGCAGCTAAACCAACCAGCTCAGAGAACACTATTAATTGCAAAACAGATATATTTAAGAAATTTATGCATCTTCGAAGGATTCGCAAGCTGAGTTACTCGACAAACACTTTTATTGATACAATCTTTTGAGGGGGGGGCGAGGTAAATACATACAAACACGTGAACATTGTGAAAAACAAATAAGGATCACTTCCATTAAATATATGATCTATAGGCGGTATGTGATAATCTTGTGGAAGCAAAGACATCGGACGTAAGGAAAGGTGTCTGTCGACTCGCATTATCGAACACTTCCCATCCCCACCCCCCCCAAAATGGCTTCATAGTATTCATGATGGCATCCCATACGACATTTGTTGGACTTTATAATTATCTATAACCAAGGTAGTAATAAAAAAGTTGTCGGTTTTTCCTAAGGCTTGAGCAATCAGCTGAAGAAGCCGGACCTATGTATTAAAAAAGGGGACAGTAGTAGTAGTATCTTCAATCTCTACCTTGACAGCATAGTTTTATTTTACTCTTACAATTTCCTTTCAATTCCCGCTTCTCTTCGCAATATTTTTTCTGTATTATAATTACTATTATTATTTTATATTGAATGCTGATAGTTTTCTAAGGATGTTTGCAAATCGAAAATCCCAGTTGAGCATTATTCTTGATGAAGAGTGGTGAAAATATCTTATGAATTCTGATCAGATATATATTAAAATCTCGTTATTAAGTCCTTTCTAGTTTAACATATGTTGAATTTATTGATTTGTTTTTTTTTTAAAGTTTCATTGTCATCAAATCTAGGCGCTTATAATAGCATTTTCCACCCCCATAACAATAACTCCATTTTACATGCCAATTATATGCTTTGATGAATATTATTCAGATAAAGGAATAAGAAAACGTAATTTGTCTGAATCGTGTAATGCTGTATTTGCGCAACACATTTCGAACAGCCTGATCACCCACGAACTTGTCATAGGAATATACATGAAATTAATAAAGAGGTAAGAGGTGAGAAAATAGACTTAGATAAAGTTAAAAGGACATATTCAAGGTCAAAATAACAATGAAGACCACTAAACCAAATAGCAGAGGTAATAGTGCATCTACCCTGGCTGGCATCAGAAAAAATTTACCAAGGAAGGTTTAATGTGATGACGAATTGTTTTTGAACGCATAAAGGTGGTTTAAACTTTCTAACTGCTAGGGCTTCCACAAAACTTTAGAAAGTTTAAACCACCTTTATGCGTTCATCATAAACAATTCGTCATCACACTAAAGCTTCCTTGGTAAATTTTGTTTTGATATCATGGCAGATTTACTACTACCTCTGCTATTTGGTTTAGTGGTCTTCATTGGTATTTTGACCTTCAATATATATGTCTTTTTAACTTGACCTAATAGCCTACTTTCTCACCTCTTAACTCTTTATTAATTTCATATATATTTTCCCATGACAAGTTCGTGTGTGATGAGGCTGTTCGAAATGTGTTGCGCAAATTCAGTATTACACGATTCAGACAAATTACGTCTTTCCAAAATTTAAAACAGTTAGTCCCTTTTATAAATTTGGATAGCATTATTAGAAGACGGAGATTATCTGAAAACTATTGTTATGTATTCGCGCTATACATTTCGAACAATCTGATCCCTCACACATTTACTTGTCAAGTCGATATATGTGAAAAAGTTAAATTAAACAAAGTGACAAAAAAAGAATTAAGAATAATTAACACAAACGTTTGGTAATCCAATCAAATAAGGATTACCAAGGTTGGTTATGAGTAATAATAAACTGTGTCTGAATACACAGGGGGGGGGGCTTAAGTTTATGAATAGCTATAGCGTCGGTGCATTTCAATAAGCGCCCTTGACCGTTTTTATAGATGACCTTAAAGGCTGAGTTAACACCTACCTTATGGTTCATCTCGATTAAATGTTTAGCTATAGACGAAGTTGGTAGTCTGAAACCTGCATCTATTGGCTTGTCACAATTCATCTGTTTTTCTAACCATTTTGGGATATGCTCTCCCACCCTCACGTGCAACGCGCGATTACTCCTCCCTATGTATGTATGTCCACACACACACACACACGAAAATTGGTAAATTGTGTGGGATGTGATATGACTGTCTTGTAGATATGAACATAAAAGATAGGAAAATGTATTCATTTGATGTTAATTCTTTGTTTACTAATGAACCATTGGTTAAGACTGTTGATATTCTTTGTGACTATATATCTTCTAGTTGTTTTTCATTTCCTTTTCCTTTAACTTATTTGAAAGATTTATTACTATTATGTACTGACAACGTCCATTTCACGTTTGAAGGTGAACATTTTCGATAAGTGGATGGCGTTGCTATGGGGAGTCCATTAGGACCTTTATTAGCGGACGTTTACATGTCTTATGTTGGAAACTTATCCTCTGATTTAATTTCTAAATTGCCTTTCTATAAGAGATATGTAGATGATATCATTTTGATATGCGACGATCACTAAGATGCGAGTCGTCTATTAGGCAGAATCATATTAGTCTTACATGCGAGGAAGAAAGTCAAAACCAGCTTGCATTTTTAGACATACTTCTGAGTCGAACAGATGATGGTCCAATAAGATGATCAGTCTACAGAAAGCCCACTTGGACAGGGCAATACCTTAATTTTCACAGTTTCTGCCCATTACAGTATAAGAGAGGCTTGGTGAAATGTCTATTTAAGAGGATTCAACGTATCTGTACGGCTGATATTATAGACAAAGAAAACGAAATATTGATGGATACTCTTGTTGAAAACAGGTGTAGAAGTCAATTAGTCTCTAAACCTACAATCTATACAGCCCCTTAGAAAAATGTTTTCATCAAATTACCATATAACGGGGAAATAAACAGTAGGGTAAATCCGATCATCCCTAGAACCTATTATGCAGCACAGCTTGTAATTGTCGAAAAAGCTAAAAATATGCTCCACTGCAAACCTCAAAAGTGCACAAGTGATTATGTCACATCCCACACAATTTACCAATTTTCGTGTGTGTTTGGTCACACATATATAGGGAGGAGTAATCGCGCGTTGCACGTGAGGGTGGCAGAGCATATCCCAAAGTGGTTAGAAAAACAGATGAATTGTGACAGGCAAATAGATGCAGGTTTCAGACTACCAACTTCGTCTATAGCTAATCGAGATGAACCATAAGACTGATGTCAACTCAGCCTTTAAGGTCACCTATAAAAGCGGTCAAGGACGTTTATTGAAATACGCTGAGGCTATAGCCATTCATAAACTTAAGCCCCCCTTGTGTATTCAAAAACAGTTTGTTATTACTCTTAACCAACCTTGATAATCCTTATTTGATTGAATTACCAAACGTTGTGTTAGTCATTCTTAAATCCTTTTTTGTTACTTTGTTTAATTTAATTACACTTAATTTTTTCATATATATCGACTTGACAAGTAAATGTGTGAGGGATCAGATTGTTCGAAATGTATAGCGCAAATACATAACAATATTTTTCAGATAATCTCCGTCTTCTAATAATGCTATCCAAATTTTTTAAAAGGGACTAATTGTTTTAAATGCTAATATATGCTTTGATGAATATTATTCACTTAATGATAACGTTAACAGATTATCATTCACAAAATTTATAGGTCGTAAATTTGCTGGAAGTGACCGTTACTTGTTGTCACAATGTTCATGTGTTTGTATGTATTTAAACTTTAAAAAATTGTATAAACAACACTAATATATGTGTAAAACTTGGGCACTGTGGTAGTAAGTAATTCCATATTAGTTTGTTTATTAGAAATATCACACAGTGAAACAGTATTATTTACTGGATGACGTTTCGAACAAAATTTATTGTTCATAATCATATCAATTATCACAGTAAATAATACTGTCTCACTGTGTGATATATCTAATAAACAAACTAATATGGAATTATAAACAACACTGTTTGTAGAGGAGTATTCACCTGACGAGTCCTCCTAACGAAATTCATGAATCTGTTGAATATTTAAAAGACTGATTGTCAATGGAAGTGAACATTGAACGTTTGTTTTATTGGAACTGGCAACCATTAGCGGGCAATTCAAGGCGCGAATGGAACGATCGCTTGCAAGTTGAACGAAGACTGGATTTCAATACGAATAAAAGTACTTTATAACTTCATTTGTACTTAACATTTGTTTGCAGACTTTGTAGTTTTCTTCAATTTAATTGCCAAACAATATAATTTCGTTCGAGGAATACTGGTGTTTTGGATTTAAAGTTGAAGAAAACTCATAGTATTTATCGGCTCAATCGCTTAAGTCTTCGTTACAATAGGAACTTAGGGCTAAGTTCCTTGACAGTTTTTATT